CTCTTGGCCTCCGCATCTTGGATAATTCATTCCATGGTCTCCTTGATCCTCCGTAACTCTTGATCTTGTTTTTGGTTTCTCTTCAAGACGAGCCAGATCTTTGTAAGTTTGTTGCCTTTCTTGGATCACATAAACACATCATCAACATGACAAAATAAACTTGTATAGTTCTTCTATAGGGCGATTAGGAGAGGATTCTTGTGACTGAAAACATAAATAGTAGCAGTCCATAATATTGGAAACACATTGCTTTCTAGCTTCCACTAGGAAAATTGTTCATCTTTCGTGAATATTAATGTAATTGTTATGCCCTAAGTCCAATCAATTTTGGACATAAATACTTTTAATATATAATTGATGTATATTTATGGCAATATCTATTATTTTACTGAATTAATATTCTAATCCTTGACCAATGCGTACTCATAAGTCGAAAATGAGTTTTCATCTTATATTGACTTAATAGTAGGATGGAATATATGATCGATAATTGAGATTGATACATATTCATATCTCGTAATTGATTAGATCATATTGACTAAATTATTATATTTTCACGATTAAACTGTTGTGAATTCTAGATCGTGATTGTTCGTGTTCCAAGATCAGCAAAAAAGTAAAATGCATATTTTCTATCACAATTTCTATCTAAACACAAATAAGATTTTTGGTGTGAATTGAAATTCTTTTATTTGTCATTGTGTATGTTGAGTAAATTCCTAACAATTAATTGAGAAATCAAATTACATACACATTACGTTCTGTTCGTACTGTTCATAAGCCTAATAAATATCAAATGTCTCCCAATCACAGAGACAAAGCTTCCATAATAATAAATACAGCAACCTGGTAATGTTGTGAGGAGATGAGAAATAAAACACGATAATTAAGACGTGTAATTTAGAAATTGAGCACATTCGCTTGCCAAAGTGGTGAGATTCTCGAGCCAAGGGCTACACAATTGTGTCCAGAAAGAGTCTTGGGTCCAGTCCATGCTATATGTAGGCACCTGGAGCTCTGCCAAATTCACCTTCACATGTGGTAACACTAGATTAGGGGAAGTCTTCCTCTCTCTACTTATTCCTGTTGCATCAAAATATTTCTCTTCTACTTCTAGAATGTCTTCATTTTCCTGATTGAATACCGCGTTTCTTTCATCAATTTGAACGCAGAATGAAACGGCATCCGTGGCCATGGGTGCCTCAACTTTGAGTATTTCTTCTTCCATTGCTGCAGCCCTCTGCTCCAACACTTTGAGGGAGGTTGCCTTCCTATATATCTTACACAACACTATGTCCTGAAAATTCCGACGCATTTAAACTTATTAGTAATCTTGTCTGTTCTACATAAAATGATTGTGGAAGTAGTCATCATAACAATACCTTGGGCAAGGAGCATGAATCTGGCAAGCGATACTCGTTCATGACCCAATCAGTCTTTAACGGTCGAGGTGCTCTACGCTCGTAAAATACCAGTGTTTTCTTTAGCCCCAACATCTTCTTAGGATCCGACATGCTTACTATTTTTCTATCTGATCCGGTAGCTTTCCAGAACCCATTCTGAGTAGTCCTTTTAGGTCTTCCTCCACTCCCATGTCTTATGTCCCTAGGCACAAAGAAGTACCACTCTCTCTCCCCAATTTTCGCCATCCCTGTTTCATAACAACATGATTAACTCACCATCAAATTAGCTGCTGATAAACATTTAAGAGCTAGATCCAAAGTACAGTACCCGGTAACTCCCTAGGATGATGATTGTAAATATTTAAAAAGCCGATGATATCAGTGCGCAAAAATTTGCCAAAGATCGCCTTCTTTAGGTAGAAATTAAGGAGCTCTTCTTCAGTAGGATGGAAACGGAATCCGGGCAGCTTGAACTCGGATTTGGATTCATCCATAGTATTTTTCTATACATGCAAAAAACACTACATTATGAAGAGATATTTATAGTTTAATCATGGCTACAGTTAATCAAATCAAGAAATAGTGAGGAGGCTACGTGACTGAGGGGCACTAATTATTCACGCGGTTATTGTAGTATTAACTATTGACCTCACTTAATTCCTCGTAACTCACGACAACTAGATACAAAGTTTCTTTTATTTTGAAATGATAGAATTTTAGATTTTCTACCAACACATTCTCTTTGAAAAATTGCTGGTAAAAAAATTAACTAACTTTGAATTAGTCATAGGAACAGAAAATGACTTCTAATTCTTGAATAATTAAGTTGACAAATTGTGGGTTTTCTCCGCACCTTCGATTAGAAATTTAAAAATCGCTCAACCCTTGAATGAATGCTCAACTCCTGTCAAATCTTGGCTTCGACTTGACTGGAGGTATGGCGATGAATAGTTGAACACTTCTTCGATCCAACCTACTTCAAAGAGGATTTAACTACAAGATGGTAAACCTATTTTTTCGAGGATGTGACAAACCATTGTGAATAGATATGATCTTAACGGCTACTGTACAACCATGTCCACTTGTATCGGTTTCAACATGCATGCTAAAGTAATGGAGTTCTTTCGATCAGCACACCTTTCTTTTTGGTGGTCTATAACATGTCGAGTTCCAGCAATAATTTCGATTGACCAGTGAACAAGGAGGTCCAACTTGTTCAAGTGTCAAAGATTTGAACCGAGGTCGATGTAAAAGGAATTGGTTTGAATGAACACTACTAAAGTCATGGAAGGCCTAATGGATGCGAAGCTTAATTTTTCATGAAGACACCTAGTAATCTCCATACAAAATTTTGATTGTCAAGAGTAACAAGTTACAACATTAATTTCAAAGATTATGTTGAGAATAGAGTAATGCTATGTAGTGGTAGCACGACTGCTTAGCACCAATCTGAATAAAGGTAATAACAATAAAATAAAAATTCAAAAAGGCATAAACGCGTATGCCTTAAATTTTTTATTTCTTGAAATCCTGCCAAGAAATGGGAAAGAGAGAAGTTGGAATAGGAGAAGTTGCTTTCGAGAATTTTTTATGGGCAGACAACACAGGACCCACTTGACTTGAACAGATTCTTCTCAAGAAGAAGACAGAGACCAATACATAAAACATGACTAATTCTAGTCTAAAGTCTATTTCCTCGTAAAGCCCCTCTGCTTTCGCCTCTTTTTTTTTTGTCTTCGATTCTAGATATATAATGACTATTTCTTTCAAGGAGTGGGAAAGTAGCAACATCGATACAAATGTCAATTTAAATAAATATTCACCGACCAGGAAGTTGCAATCTCAATCCTAATTGAAAAAATTGAAAAGAAAAATAGAATAATCAAAATCAAAGTCACGCACTAATACTTAAATTTTTATCAACTTATGACGAGATGAAAAAATATATTGTATGTAACCAAATCCTAAAATAAAATACCGATCTTCTTCCATTCACTATAAGATTCAAATTTCTTCGGATCAAAAAACCGAAAAGAAAAATAGAAGAAAAAGTAGAGGAAAAAAAAAAAAGAGAACTTGTTTCTTTTTTTTTTTTTCTTTTTTTCTTTTCTTTCTTTTTTTGATAGAAAGGACTCAGTGAACCAAAAAAGATTGGGAATACTGGAGAGCAAAAATTCACCGTTATCCTCCCTCATGAACTCCAAGGGAAAATCATTGGCTTTATCAAACTCAATAAGTGGGGATTACCTCACTTCAGAGTTGGGTGATTAGTTATAGACTTCTTTGAAATTGCTTTATTCATTTGTACAAAATGTGTCCTGTTTTCATTGCAAATGTAAGCCTTCAAATGCTAATGTAATTTTCATTTAATTCATGTAATCTCTCGTAACTTTTGGAAGATAAGGTCTATGTCGCCCTTCATGTATTCTTTTGCGCATCAATATTCTAGGGTAGGTGGCAACGTCAAACTCTTCATGCTAGGTAGATAAACAATTTTGCTTTGCGTACAGAAGCAGAATGCATAGAAAGAAAACAGATACTCATAGCCGGGGGTGGGTGGGTTTTTTTTTTTTCAATATTTTACTCACATGGGGCCACCACCATGTGAGTAATCAATTGGATTTCTGGCAAATCCAACCAAAAAAAAAAAAAAAAAAGAATGAGAATATTGCACAATTTTTACGAAAAATAAGAAATGTATCACTTGTTTCTTTTACCAGGATCGACGAGAAATAGTGTTAAAATGGAAAGTCTAGAAAAAAGAGGAATTCAAACTAAAATTATATTTTGACTAATTTTTGTCAATTTTAGAATTTGATTTGCTTGTGCAGTTCTGGAGACAAACCTGGGACCTAAGCTCTTTGCTAAGAAAACTTCATCCATGAAAAGCTGACTTTAGAGTGCGTGCCGTAGAAAACTTGTTAAGATTTGAGGTTTCATATTAAAAGATCAACCTTATTAAGAGGAGTAACACAAATTTTTATAAATTTGCCTATGTTATCATCTTTATTCGATGTTGAATTTTATCCTTTGACATGCTTCCGCAAGATGGTACTTCGTTTGAGCAGATCAATCTTGAAATTCGTGTGCTTAATTTTTTTGAATCTTAATCGGATTGAATTGCTCGTTGGAACTTAATGGGCTCTAATACCATGTTAAGATTTAGGGCTCCATTTTAAAATGTCAATCTTATTAAGAGAAATAACACAAACTCTTCTAAATTGGTTTATTTTATCATATTTATTCGATGTGAGATTTTATCCATTAACAAAACCATTGTGTGAAACCCTCATATTATTATGTATAGATAAATAGATTATATAGTTTGGTGATAAACACTGTTTGAATTTGTGATACAAAAATTTACTTTTGCTATTCTATACTGAAGCCATATTTCAGCAACTGCATAATAACAAACTTTCTTTCGTCTCAAGTGGATGGAAATTGTAAGATGACGAATATCTATCAGCAGCCATGGATATAAGCAAAGCTTCCTCAACATTTTTGGTTGTTGCCTTCTTCTGGATTAAGAAAATCGCATAATCCATAAATACGGCATCACAAGGCAATGTGATTGGTCCGTCACTTGGCAGTCCAAACTCTTCTTCTGACATTATGAGTAGCTCTCTCAATATGTAATTGTTGAGATAAATTATGGGGAAGGAATATCGCTTCTTATCAGCTGTATACACAACAAAATGACCTTTCTCAGCCAAAGAATTAGAAGAATGACTACAGGTAGTACCAGCTTCCTCATTCTCTCTTGATATTGTAATCCGTTTTCTTCCGAGGGCTGCCAGTCTTTGCCACTTCCTTGCCATCTTGATGAGTTTTTTGGAACTAATCATCTTAGTTTTTGACGGAAATTTGGGAGAATGATACTTTTAGTCTTTTAGATCTGGAAAACACTGGAATGATGTGTTGAAGAAATGGTTGGGGGTTAATTATATATATTGTCTATGCAGGGGGCATTTCATTAAATGCAGCTTTCTGAGGTGGGCACCATGGGTGCAAAGCCCATGTGAATTTTGAGGAAGAAAAGGATTGGAGGTTGGCATTGTTGGGTTATCACATGCATTTGGGCTGTTTTTTGGTGTTAAGTTGTTTGATAACAAATTGGGTCCATGTTGATCAAAATGATCTTTGAAGTTCCTGAGAGCTACAAGCAAGAGTGCCTGGTAAGTGACAAGTCTATTTCTTATCCTAATGAATGGATCGATACAAATCTTTTAGAATCAGAAAACTTTGTTTCCTTGTTCATTAGGAATGTTAGTTTGGCAAGTGAAAGACAGCATTTTAACTGGGCCTGCATGCCGGTGTAGCTACCAAACAAGACAGAATTTGTGGCTGAAATAGCAGAGTAATTTCTATATACTTGAGGCTTTCAACAAGGTAGCTCAGCTAGTAGATATACACGCCTTCAATTTCTAGTAAAACTCACAAGAAGTTACCAATTATCAATAGTTAAGTTTCCAATCTACCCCACCATAAAAAAAATTATGAAAATTCCGAAGAATTGTTGGTGACAAGAAGCATAATCTGGACATAGCCTAAACTTGCAATACATGTATTGTCCTGGATGCTGCATCATTACAAAACTGAATTCATTTAAGCCACAAATTCTGCCTTGTTAAGGAGCTCAACTGGCATGCTGGCACAATATTTATCGTCTTGCACCTTCCATACTAACATTCTTAATGAATCAGGACACCATTATGCCGACTTACCATTTATTTCTTTCTTGTGACTCTCAGGATTGGGGACTTACAAGTTCACTTTGAGGTTATGCTTGGACCCAATGTATCATCAAACAACTTAACCCAAGACCCAAGAAAACAGCCCAAATGCAAAGCAAAACCAATATATAGAAGTAATCTTCCTCTGTAACTCAAACTTCACATTGTTAGTGCTATATCCACAATGGCTGGGCAAGAAGTAGACAAAGTTGGAGAAAATACCGTTGAGCTCTAAGTTGAAGAAACAAGTTGGAGAAACCACAACAAACCTATGTAGAAAATCATATCTGATGATGAAGATGTTTCACAGTGACTAGAAAATAATAACTCCTCGGTGGATTCCAAGGCACGTATTTGCACTTTACTTGAGACGATATTTGCCTCCAGTTCGATAATATACATGCGTAAGCAAAGATGCCTTGAGGATACAATGGAACCTGAATATGGTGTTGAGGTTATCCCACATCGGTTGTGGAAGGGGCTAATGGTCAGTTTATAAATGTGAGGGAAAACATCACCTTTTAAGATAGCTTTTGGGATTGAGAAGGCCCAAGATCACCTAAGACTGGTATTAGAGTCCAGCAGGGGCAGATGCAGACCTTAAAAGTTAGGGGGACACAATCGAACTTCCAAAGAAGTTGAGAGAAATTTTTCAATCGAAAATTTACGTCCAAAAAAATCATACCCCATGTAATTTTACATTCGAAAATTTACATAGGATATGACTTTTTCGGATGTAAAATTTCGAAATTTTTTGATATCATATTCCATATAAATTTTCCTAATAAAATGATGAAAATTACATTGAGAAATTTGTATCGTAAAAATAATAAATTTTAATGAAATAATTGATTT